ATATACTGTTGTGCTATGATTTCTTCTTTAAACTTATTTATGTTTAGCAAACAACCATACCTATTATATTGCCCAGACTAAGATATAACCAGGGATATAACCAAGGAGTTCCTACATTCACTACTGTTCCTTGGTTAGGCAAGAGAATCATCACCTTTTACATTTGTTATTTAAATTTTTGAAATAAAGACAGTATTGGAATTGGTTTTAATACAAGAGTGGTGTTAAATACATTGAATATAAAACAAACAATTAAAAACAGTAAGCCGCCGTCCCGGGATCTTTGTTTCTTTTTATGTTTAGAACTTACACCTGCCAAGGCTGAACAGTAGGCGAATGCTCGAACTTTATTACCTGCTTTAAAAATAGGCTCCCGGCGGCCTTGGTATTATGTTTACTAATCATCCACATGGGAATGGATCGGTTATCAGGAAATGTGTGATGGTGTTGTTTACTCTAGTGACTTTTTAGTGAACTTTTTAGGTGTTCTTGTCAATTCAGTATGGCATCATTATTTCGTATAGACCTGCTTTTCATTTATCTTTAGTTCATGACTCATCGCATCATTCCTCCTGTACAGAGTTAACTGCCAGACGATAACAGTGTGCCCCAGAGAGGGCATAGACACAAACAACACCAACAGTTAGTCCTGGACGCAATATTTTGGTCGCGAGTGTCCTGTAATCTTTCAAAGAAACATTGAACTATTAGAAACAACAATAAAACAATTATTTTTTTATAGCAATTCTAAGTTTGTTCTGTTTTAATATCGTTTAGTGGGAGGCAATAGAGGAAGGTCTAACATTTTCAATCTGTGATTTTTAATGGCACAAAAATTAAAACTTTAGTAGCTTATTAATGTTTAAGATTTAAGGCATAGGCTTGATAGTATGACAATGGAGGCCTACACAAATAAACGCCCCCTTTTGAATAAAGGGGCGTTTATATTTTACTCAAAATACTCCCTCACCCCCAAAAGGACGGTGAACAAAACTAATGGAAGCAACATATTCCAACACTATAGTTGGGTTACTCCACTCCAATTACATTGTTTTCTATAACCAGGTTGGATAAATCATAATTTCATGATCACACAACACAGTTTGACGGAAATGTGTTGTAGAGTTCCACATTTATACTGTACTAGTGAAATTAAGGGGCGTTTATTTAAATATACGTATCAGTGTATTGTATACAAAAAACAAACGTAAAACGCCTTCCTCAAAAACCGTTTAGAAACGCATGAAAAATAACGTCTGGTTCAAAAGCCTACTTTGAAAGTTTTCATAACAAAAAAAATGGGAAACTACGTTGGAACCGCTGCTGAAAGTGGTCCTGAAAGTGGTAGTAATACCACTGTTAGTAAGTCAGGTACACATAATTTAAGGAAACGATTAGGAGGTCAAGTCGATGATGATTTTGAAGAGGTATTACACACCCCTAAAAGGTAATTTAGAGACAAATCTTTCTAGGCCTAGGCCCTAGCTAGTTAGGCTTGCTTCTCTAAAATTCCGCTTGCTGACACACAGGAGAGGATGTCTTTGGACCGTCACCAAGTACAGTACCAGCACAAAGGGTGGTAATTTGACGTCATTCAAGGCCCCATAAGAGGCTTGGCCCTGCCGCCCCTGTAGCACTGTACTACTATTTATTTCAGCAGATTTGTTTTTACTAGTTACTAGTAAAATTATTCTCAATCAGGTTTAGCATAAGAAGTCTTTAACATTTTGTAAAACACTTTCTTTTTCAGATTTATTAATTGCATTTGTATTTTTTCCCAAAACAGGAAACAGTTGAAGTCCACTTCAAAGTATATTTTCACAACACTTTTTGTGAATGGTGAAAATTCAGACATAGCTATTAATGCCCTTGGTAAAACATGGAATTTGCACAAATTGTACTTATGTCAGGTACGATTTTTAAGCAACTCTTTTCTCTTATTATTTCTCTTAAAAAATTCAGCACAATTTCATCTAGTTTGAAGCACTTGCAAAGTGTAGGCCTAATTGAAAGGTTTTTTTTATTTCAGTCTCGATATTTTTCGTGTATGTTCAATGGGTCATGGAAAGAGTCAAAGTTGACAGAGGTCGACATGGATATACCAGATGCTAACATTGACATTGAAGGTACACAACATGTTTGTCATGTCGGTGCTTGAATTCTTCTCTTTTCTAATAGTTGTATGTAATCAAATTATTTGAGCCGCATTACAGTAAACATGGGTACAACAATCCGTCATTGGTAATTCTTGTCAATTGTCCCGCGCCACCCTCCCCCGAACCCGGTCCTAGCGGGGACTTAGCCTGGCATGTAATTTACAAAATGGTTACATGCATGTGAATGTCCTGGTCCCCACCTGGAAAAACAATTTGAAGGTCTAGCCCATTGGTCTAGCCTACAGCATGTCCGAATCGGAGAAACATGCGAGAGCTAGGCCAAGGAGATGTGCTTGCTTGATGGAATCACTAAGCATGGATATCACTAGGTAGATTTCCATAGTTTGGAAAAGTGTGTATTGATTGTTCATAAAAAAAGGAAACTGATTGATTGATAGAATTTATTCAGTATCAAAACAAATTAAATAAGAAAATTTTAGAAACAGATTTTCTTGTCTTGGCTCACTACTGGTTATTTTTTGACACAAACTTGGTCAAATACATGGTTCACAAATTTTCATGCAACACACTAACATCACCTCGGTCCCCGTTGTTTTGTGGTGGAGGTTCAAATTTTATTATGTAGTTTACACTCACCATGATTTATAAAAAATGTAACCATGATGGTAGGCCTAGAGTACCGGCAGGCGATTTTACCAAAAGACAGCAATTGCTGAAGCCTAGGCCTAGTGTAGGCTAATTGCTAGGTAGGACCAGACCATTTGACAGCACTGCATCCAAAACCCCGGTTGCTCTATTAAACATGTAAAAATTTGATGCCGGTTACATCTATGGGTGAATCTTAGGTACGTCCCAGGACAAAACTATGTGTACCCGACTCAGTCCTGGCCAGTGCCCACTATGGCCTGGGTCCACGGAGGCCAGGCCTACAATTGACAAATGCATTAGTCTCTGACAACCTTGTTGTGGTATCAAACAATGGGGAATGGGGGTCTAATTAGGCTGATCCCTGCTGGTGCTCCCAGGGTACTGCACTTCACCACCAGAAGGACCCCACTGGCTCTGAAAATTAATGTAATTGTAATAATGTAATAAAGTTTTTCGTGGGTTACATTAAATGAAATCAATTCTATATTTTGGCAGTGTTAAACATGTTTGATTTTATCTGCATTTACTGTATTATTTCCACAGCATTGGATGTATGCCTTGGATCTCTATACCAAGATGAAGTTGTGATTGACCCATCAAAAGTTGAATCTGTATTAGCTGCAGCTTCATTGTTACAACTAGTAAGATACTATCATCTCAATTTGCTTTCATTCTTGTTAGTCCCAAGCTAAGAATTTTCATGAAAGTTTAATAGTTTTACTTCTATTTAGCTGTGCAGATTTCTAACTTAGTTAAACCCATAACTCGCAGCAACATTGTGCTGAATTGCGTATGGGTGTGGTCTGTGAATCCCTAGCCGTTGTAAAAAGGTGCTTATAGTAGGAGTACATGCTGAAAGGAAATATAATTTATGGAAACTCCTTGTTTAGACTTGTCTTGGTAGTTAAAATGAATGTGATAAATGTTTGAGCTTGTATATATAAATTCAATTTCCCACAGTTTATTTTGAGTGTGAAATTATTCAAACAAATTATTCATCATTTACTAGGATGGATTGATCCAGCAGTGTGCAGACATTATGACTGATACTATATGGTAATTATTTAAGAATATTTTTCTTTATATTCTTTTACCAGATTTGATATAAGCACTATTGAGCTTACTCGCTGTTGGATACGAATGAAATTAAAAAATAAATTACTCTTTTCCACACCACATACCCAAGGTTAATACCAACGACAATAATATTAATATTATACTTTCCACTTCACATCTTAAGATTCAATCAATAAATATATTGCGCAACAAAATGCAGAGTCAGCTCAGACAGTACATTATAACAAAGATACTAGAAAACACAAGATAGAGTTCTCCACAGAAAAAAACTGTTCCATCGAAATGCATGGTGGGAATACAAACAATGGGGCGTTGCATACAGCTGGATCTAAAAACTTCTGCCACTGTTACATAACTGTGAATACATAACCTCCTTTTGCGGAGATTGAAATGGTTGCCATTATGCATAGGATACAAACAAATTGGCATAAATAAATAAAAACAATAAAATGACAGACACAAAAGCGCAGAATTGTATGACTGAACTCTGATTAGTGATAAAGTTTTCCTGCATTAGTGGAGAAAGAAGGGCACCATATGCGTCTTGATATACCTAGCAACAGAAGGGCGGCCTGTACGTACGGACCAAGTATAGAAAACTTGCATTATAAAAAGAGAATTTTTGCTATGCGAGTGCTCTATCTTGTATTTCTAGTATCTTTGATTATAACATTTTTGCTTAGCTAAATGATGGTAATTGTATTTTCAGCCTTTCTACAGTTTGTTCGTATCATACTTCATCTTCTACATATGGGATTCAACACACATTATTGAGGTAAGATTTTATCATATTTATTCAGCAGTTTTTCAACATATAAACCTGAATATAAGGAACATGATTTCAATTGATATAAAATACTGTACCTCTTTTTAATTATTATTTGTTAATTACTTAAAAGCCTGTTTAAAAATCAATGTATTTTCCAATTGCAGATACTAATTTATTGATATTGAATTTTAGCGTACATTTTTATCAATACCAACCTGTATAGTTAATGTTGTCTTTCCCAAATGACCTTTACATCATGTAATTTTAATGTTTTGAAATGCTCTAAAAAATTCTGTAATAGCAATATGTCCCTAAATATATGCAGGCCTTTAATATACATTTTAGAAATTGAATTATAAGTTAATTATTATCTTATTATATTTTGTAGTTGTTTTGAATGGCTAGAAAGAAACCTGATGATGACCACCACCAACATTTCATTATTAAAAGAGATAAGGTGCGTAGACTTGCACCAGGATGTGTCTAATATCCTGTTGGAAGCCTCGCTATTACTAAGCTGCTTTTTTATTCTCTGATAAGTGATTAATCATTAGAAAGCAAGAAAATGTATTAATTGAAGATTACAAGAACAGGCACAGTGTTCCATAACAGTAGTAGTAGTATGGCAATTAAATTTAATGTAACTTGTTGCACTATTTACAGTACTTGTAAATGTTTCCCTTTAAGCACTTATCCCCTATTTTCTATTACTTTTTAACAAGGTTGCATTTATATAGGTATTTAATTATATTATTTTTTTGTTGTGTTTTTCTACCATATTTATAGAGAGTGATCCTTCCAGCATATCCTAGAAGGTCGGCTGATATTCAGGGGCCCTCTTTAAATAAATGAAATAATGTGATGCTTTTATCAGGGAACTCTCTTTAGGAGGCTTAGCGAGTGGAGTTGATTTTATTTTTGAAAAAAAGTCCTTTTCACCATTGCATCAAATCATCTTGACATAAAACATGATAAACAGAATAACAGACAGAATATCACAGATGTAAAGGACAGGAACCACAGACTCAATGTCCAAACAAACAGAAAACACCCATAATTTAAATATTTAATTCCCCCTCCCCCCAAGTCTTTTAAGATTGTTTTAAAAGATGGAGAAAAACAAAAATTCTATTCATAGTTAAGTCTAGGAGTGCCATTATCATAAATTTTCTTACTCTGGCCATAACCATGATGGTTCTGAGGTGGTCTAGAACCTTCATCTGTAATTTCAAATTCTTAGATCTACCACTGTATATAATTATTGTGTTTATAGAGAAAACTGCAAAATATTGCTGAATAATTTTTATTTTTATTGTTTTATAAAATATGAATGCTTATGAACTTCACAGCAGAAGTGGTTATTTTGTGACAATTACTTGCCCAGGGACTAATACATTATTTGACCTTGATTTTAGCCTAGTGAATATTACTAAGGCCTTCATTATAGCTAAAAATTATTTAACAAAAAACCATGATTTTCCAGCACATTTAATCTCTTATCATTGTTATTTTAGTGTTGATCTAATGAAGTCTTTAATTAACTCTTCCAACCTCTTTGTTCTGCAAGTGGAGATGGATATTTATTCTTTAATTAAGAAGGTAATGTGACATCCCTTGAATAGATTCATCAGTCTCATAGAAAATATAGATTAAGATAATAATAAAAATTATTATTGTTATTTATTCAGGCAAATACAACATGACATAACAAATATACAATAACAAAGTAAAAAGTAGTTGTCAGGAATATAAGTAGGTATTGTCATCAAGTAGTGTATTCCTCAACTTCCAGTCTACCAAACACTGATTGGAACTAATACCTTATTACATAACTATAACTATAGATGGTAACAATTTTTAAACGATCATACAAGCAATGGAGTCCAATATCAGCCCTCATGCTACTAATAAGGCCAAAAAACAATTGTTGTGTGCCCAAGCAGAGTGACATTTTAGAAATTAGAGACTGTTGATAAGACAATTTATTTTTGTATACTTCAGGGCTAGGCCTACAGTAGTTTTATACAAATGCATTTGTGCATACAACGGCAAATGCCACGTTTTCTAGATATTGTGTCAGTCATCGTTTGGTCAACTCAAAGTTTGTTTGTTTTGTTTTTTTTGTATATTTTTTGGCCTTCTGTAATCTTTGAAGATTTATGACATTAATGTCTATAGTACTTCTTGTATTCTTCATTATTTCAATTGCTCATGCTTCTGCATTGATATTTTTGCTTTTTTATTAGTATGTTTATTTAAAGTCAATGCCACAGTGGACTGGAGACCCAAAGCAACTTGCAAAAGATGCAGATAGTTACTTTAGAAGCCTAAAAGGTAATACTGTATATTTAGAAATATCAATGCATGTTTTTCAGTTTGAAGATCTTATAATCTGTTAACAGAGAATGGTTTTGACATAATTTTTACCAATCCAACATAAAGTGGAGCCTCAATGTTACATATATGGAAAGTATCAAAATGTGTACGATTGTAGAGTTTGTAAAATTAGAGTCAAATTCGTAAACATCTTTGACAATTGGCAGACAAACTTTGAAAATGATACAATGTAATTTCCATGAATGTAGTGAGACAAATTCATATTAAACATATGTTAGACCTTCCTCCAGAGCCTGTGTAGAAATGTTTATATGTGAACCTGAATTGTAAGCTAATTAATAATAATTTATTTGGAAACTACACTTTTGAAACAGTGACACACATCACATGATAAAGGTGCATCCAAAAATAATACTTCAAACAGAATACAGTACACTAAAGAAAACAAAGTACAAATTGAGTAAACGTCACTCACGCATTTGACAAGCACCCCCCCCCCACATCCAACACCCACCCTCATCAAAATATTATATGAAATGATGCCTCAATAGAGCGAAATGACGGACAAATTGCCATGTCAACCCCTGAGTGGCCCTTATTCAATTAAAAGTAAATATATATATAATACAAGTAAACAAAACTTAAAACTAAAAATTCTAAATGTATTATGGGATATATGAAGGCAATTTATTTTGATCTCATTAACAATATTCAGCATGTAATTGAACTCATGAATATCAGAGGCGGATCCAGGATTTGAAAAATGGGGGTTCCAAATTTTTCCCGAAAATGAAAGGGGGGTGTGGCCCCGGGAAAATTTTGATTCCTAGATGGCTGGAAATGAGCTTTCCCAACTTCTGTCTTTTAATGACCTTTAATTTCTTAAGAATTCAAGGTTTTACCCCTCTTAAAAAACAGGTCAGGTGATTTTATCTCATTCTTGGGCCTATACCATAGAAGAAAATCAAAGATATAGTCAATACATTATTAGACCTATATTCCAAAAATATTGCAGTGGCAGACCTACAGGGGGTAAATAGGGTGGCTAGCCACCCCCCCTTTGGTGACTAAAAAAATGGTCACTCGTCTTGTATGTGTGCTTGTATACATGTATACTCCCGTAAAACATACACTTTCTATTTTAAGCTTAACTTCTTTTCAGATGTCATCCATGAGCGTCTAGACGTCTATTAATTCCAAAAAAAATATCAAATGGAAGCGGATGCCCCCTCCAAAAATCCATGATCAGGGGGGACAGGGAATACGTACCCAAATATGTTTAAGAGGGTGGGGGGCTGGTCCCCTCACTTTTTGTCCACTACCTGTCTCTTATACACATCTTACACTGGAAGATAATCCGCTAATCTTTCTTGACATTAAAAGTCCTTATTTGGACATAGCAATAAATCAATGACTAAAAACTGTCTCATAACATTGAACCAGTGTTTTAACCTAAAGCTGTGTCCGGATAATAACATTTTCTAGGACAAAAAAACTGGTGTATGATCTCATTAACAATATTCAGCATGTAATTGAACTCATGAATATCAGAGGCGGATCCAGGATTTGAAAAATGGGGGTTCCAAATTTTTTCCGAAAATGAAAGGGGGGTCTGGCCCCGGGAAAATTTTGATTCCTAGATGGCTGGAAATGAGCTTTCCCAACTTCTGTCTTTTAATGACCTTTAATTTCTTAAAAATCCAAGGTTTTGCCCCTCTTAAAAAATAGGTCAGGTGATTTTATCTCATTCTTGGGCCTATTCCATAGAAGAAAATCAAAGATATAGTCAATACATTATTAGGCCTATATTCCAAAAATATTGCAGTGGCAGACCTACAGGGGGTAAATAGGGTGGCTAGCCACCCCCCCTTTGGTGACTAAAAAAACGGTCACTCGTCTTGTATGTGTGCTTGTATACATGTATACTCCCGTAAAACATACACTTTCTATTTTAAGCTTAACTTCTTTTCAGATGTCATCCATGAGCGTCTAGACGTCTATTAATTCCAAAAAAAATATCAAATGGAAGCGGATGCCCCCTCCAAAAATCCATGATTAAGGGGGACAGGGAATACGTACCCAAATATGTTTAAGAGGGTGGGGGGCTGGTCCCCTCACTTTTTGTCCACTACAGTATGTAATAATTTCATAAGTCAAGAAAATGCCTGAAAATTGTTGAAATGAACTGCATTGAAGACTTGTTCAGCCAGTATTCTATCTCTGCCCACAAACATCTGAATTACTAATAATAGTAATAATAATAATAATGGTAATAATAATAATATATAATAATATAGGGCCTATAATAATAATAATTGTGATTAAATTATCATTAGTAGTAGTAGTAGCAGTAGCAGCAGTAGTAGCAGTTGCAGCAGCAGTAGTTGCCGCAGCAGCAGCAGTTGCAGTAGCAAAGAAGATTAGTTTTCAGCACAGTGAATGTAAATTAAAAATACATGAAAGACAATTGAGTTTAATTTTCAATGGAACACCACAGCGATTAATTAGATGATGATGAATTTTACCCTAGAAAACTGTCATTTCCGGCAATCTAGAGGTATTTCCCCAAATGTTCCCACCTCAGCCCTTAGGTGTGGACAAGGCTGTGAAGTAGGTAGGCCAAAAGTAAATACATCAAGTACAATGTTTTTAAGTTTTATTTTTTAAGTACATCACGTTAATTAGATTTGGTTGATGCAAATCACTGGTAAAACGTCATATGACCATATAAGGTGATGTGATGACAATCAATTTTACTATATAGAGTGTCATTTCCGATCATCTACAGCTAACTATTTCCTAAAATTTTCGAACCTCAGGCCCAACCATGGTGGGCCTGTGGTGGGTGTGGACTCACAAAATGTCCCCTTCACCTTTAGAAACAGATCTGCGCCTTTGCCAAAACCACACCTCCCCACACCCCCCGCTTGGTGCTTTGCAAATCACATTATCCACTCCCATTGCTAAGTCCTAGATCCGCCACTGTATTGAGTAGTTAATTGAATGCTAGTTGGGCTAAGCCTAGTTTGTCCGATTTGCCAACCTATGCCTAGGTAGGTGAGCTTACCTTTTGTAAGCCGGGACCCAGTAGTATTTTGTTAAGTTTCTTCAGAGAGGGGGTTCGTCCGAACCCCTTGAACCCCCCCTGGATCCGCCACTGAATATTAATGAGTTCTTGAAACTGACTACTAGTGAGTAAAAAAATAATTTTTGGCAAAAGGCACAGTATAAATTCCTGTATTATTAAAAGTTACCTGTGTTATTTAAAGTTGAGTTTCAGAGACAATGGCTTTATTTCCTTCCAGTTGCTTTTCGTACATTTGCTTTACCTTCAGCAGCTCTCAAGTGGTGGTTCATTATTATTATTATTATTATTATTATTATTGTTTTTTTTTTTGTTTTTTTATTATTATTATTATTATTTTAGCATTTCCCTGGGTGTCCCCTTTACATTAGTCAGATGTCTGACATATATTTGGCTCCCTTTCCGAATTTACTTGGCTTTCCATTTATCACTCTAGTAAAATCGTATTTCTTGTTTTCTGTTTTAAGAACCAGGTGAGTTTTTAAACTCAGAAACTGGAAAGATTTATGAAGATTTATTCAAAGGAGTTCGACTTCATCACATCATTAACGACTTGTCATCAACACGATTAATTGACAGGGACAAGATAATTCCACCAAGTAAGAATACTTCTTAATTTTTAACAATGTAGGTGAAGGGATATTTATACTGAAATCCTTAAAGAAAAGCAAGGCATGGCTAGGGAAAGGGAGAATGTATGTAAATTGGAAGATGACTACATTGATTGTGGAAATGGTAAAGTAAAGGTGTTGGGAAAGGGGTAGAAACAGAGAAAATGAGTATGGTAATGTGGAACTTGCTTTTGATGTGTTCTTGCATCTTTTTGTTTGTATGAGTTTTGATTGTTATTGGATTACTATTTTTTAGGTTGGATACTTCCTGTTTACAAGCAGCAATGGCAGAATATGTTGTGTGTTGAACAAGGACAGGATAAAGGGTATGACTTTTAAATTATAATTTTTTAAAATATTTTGAATACTTTTAAAGACATTCTGTCTTTGCTTCTAAAAACTGATAAAAATTTATAGTAATTACCAATTCATTTTAAGCTCAGCTTAATCACAGAATTAGTAACAGCAAAGATCTTATAAACACAAGATAGCGTTCTCCGCGATTTCCGTGTACAAATTCTGTATTAACAAAGTGTAGAGCGCCCTCTTGTAAAAGGGAAAACTTTGACCATAGCGTACACCGCGCGACTTTAAGTTTACGCGTAACAATTAGAAGCGTCCCATTTACAATTTGGCCTCTCATTAGAACAATTAAGGAACAATAACGTACTTGGTAACAAACTTTGGCACGAACACCCTACCTCAGATCCATGGCAACGACTTGGGTGCCCTCTCCATAAAGCGATTACTTTTCCGTGCCAAATCGACGCTTCTATTTGTTAAGCGTAAATCACAGAGAAGGCCATCTTGTGTTTATAAGATCTTTGGTAACAGCAAGTATTTGACCATATTATGAGAATTTTTTAAAATGTTATTATGAATCATCAGACCAAGTGAATCCGAATTAATGCCAGAACACTTCAAAAAGTATGCAATGCGATGTGGTAGAATTATATCCAAGGAAGGTGAGGTGAGTTGATTTCCAACCATCAGTTGATTACAAACCTGCTGTAGGCTATGATGTAGATATTCATTCCCTCACAGTACTTACTTTCACAGAATACAATAAAATTGTTTGTAAGTTTTTGTTCTTATAAGGTACTGAACAAATTTATGTTAATTGTAGCAGAGGCAAGCCAAACCAGTCACTCGTCACAAAAATCGATTTTTAGTTATTAATACAAGGTTAAACAGTAAAATGAGAGCTATAAAATGGTAAAAGAATCACTTAAATCCAACATTTCGTTAAGAAGTTGGATTTTGTTAACAAACAGATGTTTGATAAATCGGCCTATATTTGATAAATCGGCCTTTAAAGTTAACGATTTCAGGCATTTCTTAGGCAGAAACCATCACCAAATCGTTAAAACTTGTTGTTTTAACATTGAAAATGGGGAAAATAACAGCATAACTTGATGTATATAGATATATAAAGGTTAGTTTGGTGCAATAAAATAGATTTCCAAGAGTTTGACATTCCAGCTTGTTTTGTCATTATTTGCGACGAGTGACTGGTATGGCTTGTCTTCGCCACATGTACTCTTTCATCACAAATGAAGAGTCAAGTAGACCTGTAGTTTTACATGGTATTTAGTAATGGACTAGCGTTCTCAAAAAGGAAGGTTGAATGAGCGCCACAGGCATAAAAAAAACCAAAATAAAAAAAGGAATTAACTCTGAGACATGGCATGATGTAGAGCCTTCAGCAGAAGACAGGGACACTGCTCTAGTGGTAACAGAGACCCAGAGCAGGGGTGGATCCATAATTTTTTAAACCAGGGGGTACTAATTTCATGTACAGTGGGCCTAGTAGATGTAATACAATATAAAGTATGTATCCAATAATGGTATGATTCATATTTAGTATATACTGCTGGGAAATATTGTATTTGTACTGTATACCATTTTGTATTTTTTTTAAATATTAATGACAGCACTAACAAAACCTGGAAGGTCACATTTCCCCTGTGCTCTTCCTAAAGCTGCCCCTGTAAAAGGTCACAGAAGCTCTACTGTAGTATTGTAGGCATTTAAGGGGTTTATTTCATCGTTTAAAAACTATTTTTAAGAGACTGGTATATCTCTGATAGGTCATAAACTGGTATATTTTTTTAATTTGTTTTCAATCCCTTAAAAATTATATACCTATGTGTTTTACATGCTCATTCATTTCTAATGATGGTATTTACTAGAATATAGCTTACTATGATTTTGTAATGTAAAGATAGGAAATCAGCCTGCTTTCCATCTAAACAGTACTTGCTTGGATATCAAGAAAAAAGAAATGTAATGAAATAATCAGCATAATTAAGTACATCACATCCTTAAACCTAGGTTTATGTAACCATCTGCAGTTCTGGGTTTAGGGAAACATACACTATAATCTGTACTATACAAAAGATATGCTTGTAACATTGACTTGTACCAAAATGAGCAAAGTGACTTTATGGTAATAATCAGCTAGTATTGGTCACCTGATTATGTTTCTGTTCTTTTTCAGTACTGCTGGAGGTGGACTGGGTTTAACTATGGAGTTGATTTGTTGGTTACTTTTTGTAAAAGGTAATATTTCACTTTCATTTTGGAGAGGGAAAAAAAAAGGTTTTTCTAGAGTACTACATACATTAGAACCTCGTTTTTACGTACCCCAGTTATACGAACCCTCGGTTTTACGTACGCCCCGTATCGACGATGACGTCATCAAAAACCGTGAAAATATTCAAAACCATAGTCAATAGAAAACATGGACTATGTCAAAACAAACGGCCCTTTTCAGAGCAAACACAACCATAAGTAAAAAGACTATAACAATAAACAAACCATGCAACATATTTTCATTAAACAGCAACGTTGATTGAGTCTAATACCGGGTTGTTATAATCTAAAACCATGTGAACTGAACGAGATGAACAACTACAGATGGTGCTCAAAATAGCTGCTTTCCTTGGCTTCGTGTGGAAAACTCATCTGGTCGATTTTTCTACACGAAGCTGAGTAGGCATTTTGTACACGAACACTAATTGTTTGGCTCGCTCATGTTCTTTAGTTAAATAAAAGATATATAGTGATGAATTAATACACTAGACACATAGTTTTGTTTGAACACTTTATTATGACATCGTAAAGTGATGAATAAAAATACTAAACACATGGTTTTATTCGTAGGCCTAGAGGCTAGTTCTAGCCTAGGTAAGATCGTTTATTCATAACATACGTTTATTGAGCGTTACATACCTATTAGGTTAAATTTCAATTTTTACGAATCCCCCAATTTATGTACGCCCTCCGGTCCTGCACCGTACGTAAATTCGAGGTTCTACTGTATAGCAAAACTTGTTATAGTTTTTGTAATGACAATCTTGTTTATTTTCTTTCATTTGTAGGCAAGTCATATTTAAACGAAACACGAATACGCATCCTGTCAGCAACAGTGTCAGTTTACAGCCAAATAGAAAAGTTATGTTTCAGTAAGTGATCAGTAGTTTGTATTTAATAGGTTAAATAGTCATTTTCCTTAAGTTCTGTTGTCAAACACATATCCTGTTTTTCATCATCATCATCATATCATTATCATCTCCACCAGCATTTTTTTACCATATTTATAGATGGTGATATCATAAAAAGTAGTCTGATATTCAGAGGCCCTCTTAAACAAATGGAATAATGTGATGCTTTTATCAGTAGTGGAGCTGTTTTAATCACGTGATAAAGTCCTGTTGTCACAGGAATTGAACCCAGCACTCTGGGATTAGAAGGCAAACAGTTGGGGATTCAAGAAAATTCTACTCAAACTTTTAGTCTAAGTGTGCCATTTCGAGCCATCTAGAGGTGCCATAATCATACATTTTCTTATTTCAACCCCAACCATGGTGGGACTGAGGTAGTATAGACCTTTCTGGTCCCACTCTATTTCAAATTCCTGGATCCGCCACTGGCAAGCATCTTAACCATTAAGCTATTCAACTCCACTCCACCAGCATCATCATTATTGTCATCATCATTACCAGCCTTATTATCATCATCTTTGTTATTTATATAGGTATTATGTTAATCACTTACTTGTTATTCTCATCACCATTTACTTATTGACTTAACAATATTTCTAGAAGCACTTAGAGAATTGCTGACATGAGCAATATATCAATAAGTGTGTACGGTGTAAAGCTGAGCACACAATGGGTCGGTCGCATGACCATTGGTCAACAAAATTATCTTTGCTATCTAAGAGGGCTTGACAATGCAACACCATCTTCTGATTGTCAGTAGCCATCTGATTAAATAGTCAACTTCGACTAGAAATAGTCGCCATGTAGTTTGTCACTTTTAATTAAACTTAGAAATACCAGGATGGTGTCTGGTCAGGGATAGTTTGTACCTGTTATTATATTTTATTTTATTTATTGTTTGCTATTACACTTCTACTCAGAGCCAACACTTGCAAACCTTTTTCAATTTGTAAATCTTGTGTTTCCAAATGACATTAGAAGAATATTGAATACTTAAAAACAATCCATTTGTGCCTGTGGCTTAACACAACACAATACATATTTGAAAAACTTACATGCTGACCTAATGAAATACATTATATAGTGTTACAGGAAGTGATGCGTTTATCTATGTATGTATCTTTTCAGGGTTTCTGTGACATCCTACAATAGTCAAGGCCACAGTAAATACACTAAATCATCAGGATTACAATATCTTGATCTCAAAAAGGATGAGGTTGGTACATCCAATAGTGTTCTTCTTTTTAGCACAATAGGTCTTCCAAATGTGCAAATTTAAAGTTTTAGATTAAGGTACTAAAACTAGATTTTCCCAGGCTCGATTTAGTACTAGTCCATCATACAATGTCTAGTAAACACTACTCTGGGCTAGTAAACCTACTGTACCTCTGAGCTAGTAAACCTACCTTATTACTAGCCCAGTGGGCCAGTGATCAGTTATAAACTATTGCTTTAAGTATGCTTGGCCAAGAACATAATGTTACTGATGTACAATGTAGCCAATGATTGGTCTAGTAAAATATCCAATGGGCTAGTGAAATATACAGTAAACTAGCCCAGTGGGCTAGTCACCAAAGAAAGTTAAATCGAGCCCTGTTTTCTTGTCCCTTCATTTGAAACAAAATGTTTGGTGACATTTTTTTAATATAGTGATGCACTAAACTTTACAACTAATTAATCAAACAATGGTAGGAATATCACATGTCCTACAAACACACGTCCAACAAACGCGTGTGTATACATACATTTACGTTATTGTGTTTTTTTAATCTTAGCAACAATATCCAAAGGGCGGGGCTTAGCGGTTAGGTCATTTGAGGCAAGAACAGGTCATGTCGTCAGAGAGTATGGATAATTTTATCTAGAATATAGTCAATTTTCTTTGAAATCAAACCATTGGATGTCTCATGACCTACTGTATATATAAATTTTTCAGGTCGTGAGAAAATTTCCCATAATTCTGTATTTATAGATTATCATTGAATGCAAAATGTACCTTATATTGAATATCTGCTATTATTGTTTTAGAAGATTTTATTATTGTTTTTATTGATTATTTAAAGGAGGTAGTAGTGTTGGAAATGGACTCAGTAGCAGAATATCCAATACAGATTAGTGTTTACTACTTATGCTATTCATTACCAATGGACCTATTGCAACTTGATTCTGTGGAAAATATATCTGAACAAGCAATTGGAGAACAGTTGGAATGGAACACATGAGATAGCAGTGATAGCAGGTTTTATTGACTACAGAAGAATTCAGAAAATGACCAGAAATTAAGTTGCATGATAGAAAATTCATTTGGAAAATGAGGCTACAACTGATATTCTTTTACTGGTTGTAGAATGAGCATCAGTGACATTACTTCAGTAGCATTTGAAAAGTAAGGTCTGTTGAAAATGAAATACATCGAGATTTGTTATGTATTGCATCACCTTCATTTTGGAGTTGTAGAAAGGATTACAAATTTGGAATGGAGCCTATGATGTAAACATACCACTTTAAGCTCTGAGTCTGTAAGGAACAGTATGCATAGAAGTTGAATTTTTTTTTTTTATACTGAAAGATATGGAATGTAATTTATATTATTTTATATAAAAATAATAAAAGGTAAAGATAACTGTCTAATTATACCTGTATGTTATTGGACAGTTAAAAGTTCATTGAAATAGATGTGTCTGATTCATTTGGGCAATGTTATTTAATTTTTATTTATGATTGAACGAACAAAAAACACCTTAAACAGAAGGAAACTGAGACTGAGAGAGATGTGTTCATGTGTAGGGGTAGAATACAGTGTGTAGTGGGGTCGATGTAAATGTACCACTGTGTGTGAGGGGTGTCCATGTACATGCTGTATGTATATATAATCAGTATGTAGCACTGTGGTATACATAAATAATCAAATAATGGTGGAACAGCTGTTGAATAAACGACCAATATAAAGAATTATTATACAATAATATACTGAATATATACTGCAAACCTCGAATAAAAGCCCCCCCCCCTTCCCATTTTAGTTTGCAAAAGTAGCCTGGAAAAGGCTTCTTTTCAAGATAGCATTGGCATATTTTTTTCGAGACAGTACAGTACATACACTGTACATGAATTTCAAGGAAACAAAAAAAACATGTTTGGTTTTTACAGAAGCTTCGGCAGGGACGGAATTTTTTGAAGGTAAAAAAAAAGGGGAAAAAAGAGAAAGAAAAAAAAATTGAGTTTATTTTCGGGCGTCTACAACACGAACATTTTGCGGGGGCATTCCCCCGGACTCCCAAAGGCGCTATCGTCTCGATCGTGTGCCCCCCCCCCCCTTTAGATATCTCTGGATCCGCCCCTGGTTTAGGTGACCCATGATACAGCATAGAGAAAATTCTATATTTTTCTCTATGGATACAGAGTGATGTTACAGTGGCCCTATATATTGTTTTATAGTCGGCGATTTTATAGTTGGCGATTGTCGCCACTAACTAAAGAGACCAAAATGTGAATTATCGTAAATCGATGTATGTTGTCTCGTAAGTACGTAGCAAATTCTATCATTTATATCAGCAATTCAACATTTTTAGGGCTTTCCTTTATCACAACATGCACGCTTGAACAGACACTGACCTTGGAAAAAGACGTCATGTACGATGTTTCCGAACTCACAGCAGGACTTCGTGATCGATTGAAATTAAGTTGGCTGCAAGTGTCCTACATTCGATAGGCTACAGGCTACCAACTTACAGTAGTACAGTACTTTAGCAACCATCGGCAGTTTTTACGAAGTAGGTAGACACCACGATAGGCAGGTATTGAGTGCAAAAACCGCCTTGGCAATGGTAGAACCATGGACCTATAGAACCATGCATAAATCATGAGGCAGGCTTAAGCTTCCGATCAGTATTTGCAAACAATAACCAGAGATAAAGCTTTTAGTAACTGGCAGCTATTGGCCTCACCTGCACTCAAGCAAATACAACCAGGCCTAGCGTGCAATTTTATTTCGCTTCATTTAAGTTTACTTCAGGGAAGAAGTACCCATGTTAATGTTATGTAGGCTAAATAGGCCTACTATTAGCCTATTCTATTATCTATATTCAAATAGAAGACCTACGTAAAAAAATACAATACACAGGGGTGGATTTAGAGGGACACCTCACTCAGAGGTTATTTTTAGGGGCATGCCTTCGGACCCCTAGGGTAGGCCTAGTGTTAACTCGATCAGCCCCACTTCCTCCCTACGTTTGGACATCTCTGGATCCGCCCCTGATACAGTCCGCCCTCCACGAAAACACTTTAAGGGCCTTGACCTCATCCCCCTCCCATACCCCTGTCTCTTATACACATCTAGATGTGTATAAGAGACAAGTATTGCATAGTCTAGTCAATGAGGTACTGTATAATATACCTTCATGCTCTACCTCCACAACCCACATCTGGACTATCGCACTAGAAGCAGCAGTTGTTTGGGCCAGGACATGCAGGGAAGCATGAGTGACTGGATATTTGACTTCGCTGACATTTACCCAAGCAGTGGTTTTGCTATCCCAGCCTGCATTTTCACTTCCGAGTCACCTTCATTTTGGAGTTGTAGAAAGGATTACAAATTTGGAATGGAGCCTATGATGTAAACATACTACTTTAAGCTCTGAGTCTGTAAGGAACAGTATGCATAGAAGTTGAATTTTTTTTTTTTATACTGAAAGATATGGAATGTAATTTATATTATTTTATATAAAAATAATAAAAGGTAAAGATAACTGTCTAATTATACCTGTATGTTATTGGACAGTTAAAAGTTCATTGAAATAGATGTGTCTGATTCATTTGGGCAATGTTATTTAATTTTTATTTATGATTGAATGAACAAAAAACACCTTAAACAGAAGGAAACTGAGACTGAGAGAGATGTGTTCATGTGTAGGGGTAGAATACAGTGTGTAGTGGGGTCGATGTAAATGTACCACTGTGTGTGAGGGGTGTCCATGTACATGCTGTATGTATATATAATCAGTATGTAGCACTGTGGTATACATCTGTCTCTTATACACATCTAGATGTGTATAAGAGCCAGGTCCTGCACCGTACGTAAATTCGAGGTTCTACTGTATAGCAAAACTTGTTATAGTTTTTGTAATGACAATCTTGTTTATTTTCTTTCATTTGTAGGCAAGTCATATTTAAACGAAACACGAATACGCATCCTGTCAGCAACAGTGTCAGTTTACAGCCAAATAGAAAAGTTATGTTTCAGTAAGTGATCAGTAGTTTGTATTTAATAGGTTAAATAGTCATTTTCCTTAAGTTCTGTTGTCAAACACATATCCTGTTTTTCATCATCATCATCATATCATTATCATCTCCACCAGCATTTTTTTACCATATTTATAGATGGTGATATCATAAAAAGTAGTCTGATATTCAGAGGCCCTCTTAAACAAATGGAATAATGTGATGCTTTTATCAGTAGTGGAGCTGTTTTAATCACGTGATAAAGTCCTGTTGTCACAGGAATTGAACCCAGCACTCTGGGATTAGAAGGCAAGCAGTTGGGGATTCAAGAAAATTCTACTCAAACTTTTAGTCTAAGTGTGCCATTTCGAGCCATCTAGAGG